AGGGATGGTGATAGTTGCGGAGTGTTCAAGTGTTTTGTATGTTAAGCCCTTTTTGAACACAACCCTACCCCTACCCTACCCTACCCTACCCTACTACCCTACCCTACTCTACCCTACCCTACTATCCTACCCTACCCTACTATCCTACCCTACCCTACTACCCTACCTTACCCTACCCTACCCTACTACCCTACCCTACCCTACCCTACCCTACCCTACCCTACCCTATCCTACCCTACCCTAGTCCCTACCCTACCCTACCCTACCCTACCCTATCCTACCCTACCCTTACACTACCCTACCCTACCCTACCCTACCCCTACACTACCCTACCCTACCCTACCCTACCCTACCCTACCCTACTCCTACACTACCCTACCCTACCCTACCCTACCCCTTCCCCTACCCCTACCATACACTGAGAAAAAAATTGACTCCATATGGGTCAAAACTCTTGAAAATGCTCCCCTGAAAACTCCTGAAAACCATCGATAACACCCTTTCCAGCAGAATTATTGAGTGTGTTCTAGGGTAACTTTGAGCCTTCCTCATTTTGCGAAAGAGTTTTCAAGAGTTCTCAATGGATGGCGAAATGACTCCATGTGTGATACCCCATAACTCTGTGACGCAACTCTCCATTACTCCCGAAAAACCTTTCCCGAACGTTCCGACAGGAGTAAAAGGGGAGTTACGAAGGGGTTTTAGCATACGTCGCGAGGCTGCCGTGGCCGCCATCTTTTGCGCGTAGTATACAGCACGTTGTGCGGGGCGGCTGGCGAGGTGTTAGTGAAGAGCGTGTTGACTTAGACGGACCTGACCTGTACAGTGACGGATAATTGGACCTTACTTTGGATTTAAAGGTAAGCTTAGCTGTATTCTCATCATGCTTTTATAGTGCAAAGAGTTATAATGCTGTGATGAGAACATATGGTAACCCCATGTTCTTGATGGGCTGGAATGGTCTGTGTAAGGGAAATCGATTTGTTTCGTTCCTGAGTGAGATAAAGATCGGAAACAGCATGCTCTGAGTTTCTACATATTGGCAAATATCATACATTTTTTCCCCTCGAATAAATTGGAAAGTTAGGGTTATACAAGCTTTACACGTCATGGATCCTATTGTTATTGCCCAATTGTTTTAACACCCATGTCAATGACAAATATCAAATTTGAAGGGCTTTCAAAGCAGAGTCAGAAAATTAAACTATCTTGGCATAAAAGCCTTGATTTTCCTAGCCCCTATATATAAAAAATCAGTTACCTACCACTGCCACTGCCCAATGGGGAAAACCACCGACAAACCAGCATGTTGATACAAATTTTGTCTAAATTGTTTTTTTTTTTAGAAAGTATCCATAAATGAAGTTCGTTCTTTAATGTTAACATGGGTACGTATGCAGCGTGTAACGTCCTTAGCTTATTTTTAGCGACCTGCTCAACTTTTTGAGCGCTCAAGTACGTTTTGTAGCATTTCCCTAATGTGTCTGCAACTAAGATGAAGGCTGTTAACTTGCCCTTTAGACTTTCACTGAAACTTAACTTTATCAAAATTGTAGTGCATAAAAAGTATGCTAACTTTGCAATCTCTTGCTTTCATTATTTTGACATCATGTGCGGAAATGCAGTATCAGTGCCAACATGTCAGGTCGCGTGTGTCTTGTCTCGTCCATCTTGTCTCATCTGTCTACCTCTCAGTCTCCTCCCTCATTTCTTCCTTCCATCTTTCCTCGCTTCCTTCCTAACTCCCTCCTTCCCCTCCCCTCTCTCTCCCTTTCTTTCTCCCTCTCTCCCTCCCTCCCTCCCTTCCTTCCTTCCTTCCTTCCTTCCTTCCTTCCTTCCTTCCTTCCTTCCTTCCTTCCTTCCTTCCTTCCTTCCTTCCTTCCTTCCTTCCTTCCTTCCTTTCTTCCTTCCTTCCTTCCTTCCTTCCTTCCTTCCTTCCTTCCTTCCTTCCTTCCCTCCCTCCTTCATTATTTCCCTCCTTCTCTTTTTTCTTTCTCATCTATTTCCTCCCACGCAATGTTAAGTGTACCTATAATTTCATGGTGATTAACATTTTGCAGGGGATGAGCTGGAGAGCCTGCATCGCATCCCGCAAGACACGTCGGAAGCCAACGGAGGCCCGCAAAATATCCATCCCACCATCGTGAAAGGAGAGCCGGACGAAGAAGACGCAGTATTCGTCGATGCCCAGGAGGTGGTAGCGGCACCACCAGACCAAGCATTCCTGCTGTGGTAGGCCGCCTTTTGGATTTTTAACGTCAAAACTCGCGACCGTGAAGCATATGGAGTGAGATCCCTGGAGATCGTGCCGCGGCGGGATGTCGAAAGCGTTTGTTAATTTTTAAGCCTCCCACCGCCCCGGACTATGAATACACATTTATTGAAATATATTTTTTATCTGTGCTTCGGTACACGAGCTTTGGGTGGTTACGCTATTCGTCCAATATTTATTTTCGAGGGGGGGGGGGCTGGAGTGGAGTGATGGGAAGTTTGGGTGAGTTTGATGGGGAGTAACTATAGAGGTATACCATGAAGCTGTAAACGGAGTTTTGGGGAATAATGGAAAGGAGTAATTGGGAGTAATTATGAGGCAGTAAGAGAGTCATTGAGAGTAATGGAAGGGAGTTTCAGGGAGTATGTTGTTTGTTTTGATAGGGTAAAGGAGAGAAATGAAGAGTTTTCTAGAACGGTAGGGAGAGTTGCAGAGAGTTTCTCGAGGGAAGTTTTGGGGTGTAATGGAGAGTTTTGGAGGGGGTGTAATGAGGAGTACCACCTGGGAGTTTAAGGGTGTCGTTTTGGTGAACTCCCCCTGGGGGTGTCATGCGGAGTCAGGATTTTTCTCAGTGTACCCTACCCTACCTACCATACCTACCCTACCTTACCCTACCTACCTCTACCCTACCTAACTCTACCCTACCCTACCCTACCATACCCTACCCTAGTCCCTACCCTACCCTACCCTACCCTACCCTACCCTACACTACCCTAACCTACCTTACCCTACCATGCCCTACCCTACCCTACACTACCCTAACCTACCCTACCCTAACCTACCCTAACCTACCCTACCATACCCTACCCTACCCCTACATTACCCTACCCTACCCCTACACTACCCTACCCTACCCTACCCTACCCGTGCCCTACCCTACACTACACTACCCTACACTACCACCGACAGTCCAAGTTTCAGCTAAATCGGCCCAGAAACGGCTGAGATATTGCAAAAACAAATTTATCGTATTTACTGGCGAATCCCCTTGGCGAGGGGTGCCTTGTGTCGGCCTTCGTTGTCAAAGGTCAACGACCTCCCGGCTCTGATGCTTTTCACTCAGTTTTCTAAGCGAACAACTGAGCCTAAAGCACGTGCCTTCTGCTCGGCGCCGGTCGCGGCCGCACCACGTGCACACCGCTGAACCCACACCCTCAAAAATTGTATACGACAATTAAGTGCACGCGTCCGACTTACAGCGAAAATTTCACTCCCGTAGCCCTTACCGTTCCCGAGCAATAGCCTGTTGCCGATTCTAGTGTTAACCCTATGGCACACCACGTGAGCACGCGCCAAGGGCGCACCCCCGGCCGCATCGTGCCCAAAATTTAATACGACCTGTTGAATGACGTGACCCACGAGTCGTGAAAATTTCACCCTCCTGCGTCAATCGACGGCGCCGTAATAAGCCTTTTAGGGAGTAACCCCGACGGCGGCGGCGGACTTTTTAACCCGCGCACCGACGGGGGGGGGGGGCGGATATCCGCCCCCCCCTGAGGTTTTTCGCGAATAGCGGGAAAACCGCGGCGTGTAGCGCCGCGAAATTTGGTATGACTATTCCCTTATCAATTTTACACATGGTGTGCAAGTTTGAACCTCATACCTTTCAAGGTCAGGTCACCAGGTCACTTTGAATGACCCAACCTCAAGTCACTTTTTTGCAACTTTGTCACCGTGCCAGAGCTACAGTAGCTGTCGGAGGCCTTTAAAAGTCGCAGGATGTTATTAGGTCATTAGTAGCTACAATTTGTATATCTCGGAATTTTGATATCGGTGACCTAAGGTCAGGTCAATTTCGCGACCTCCCCATTATAAGTCAATGGGGGAAAAATCAACTCCCTGTTTTTACCACTAAAACGGGTCGGAATGGCCCCATATACCATACATGACTTCATATACGATCAACCTTCACTACCTTGAGGTCTGTTTTGCTGTTGGGCAGCTGTGAGGTCATGTGACGTCATCAAAGGTCACCAAAGGTTTTTGGCCAATAACTCCGTACAGGAACAAGATACAGACGCCTGGATGGTCTCATTGTGTTCAGCTCGTCAAGACGCATCGAATGATATACATGATGACCTCGAGGTCACGTGACCTGAGGTCAACCTTTGACCTTGACCTTTCGAGGTCAACATATATATCATTCGATGCGGATTGACGAGAGGATCACGATGATGCCCTTAGTTTGTTCCTATCTTGACTAATTCGAAAGTTATTCGAGAAAAACTCTCTCCATATTCAGCGCCGCCATTTTGACTTTTTCGACCCCTGTGACGTCATCTTTGACCTGACCTGAAAATGACCTTGGTAAAAATTGTAGATCTTGACCGTGCGTATCCGATGCCGTTTACCGCTTGTCGCTATCTTGCTTCGTTCTCGAGATCTCAGGGGGGGCGGTCATCCGCCCCCCCCCCCCCCCGTCGGTACTAAGTTGGCGCAGACCCCCGTCGGTGCGCGGGTTAAGATTTATAATAGTAGATAATAGTAGATTAAGCCAGACTTTATAAATACTATTATTATAAAGTACTATCTGCTTCGTTTTCTAAGCCAAGGGTACACAAGTTTATTTTCAGTTACTTTTTTACGAGGATAAGACACATCAGTTTAATTTCATGCCTGACATTTTTATATAGCTCTATCGTTTAAAGCTTCTAATTACACTATGCATAAGTTCATTAGGGGAGAAAGGACAATGCCATTTTGTGATGGCTCTGATGCTTGTTTCCAGGTATCAAATGTTGCAGCACGAATACCCATGGTATTCGAACATCACTCGTCGAAGAAAGGAAATTGTTAACCGTGTCAAAATTGAGCCCGACTTCGGCAAGGCCACTGAGTACTTTTACGCCATGCTCGGTTACTTAGACTCGCTACAGAAAATCCAATACGAAATCAGAGGAAAAATTGAAAACACCATCTTGTCGGAGGTAAGTTTGAAACAGATTGCAATCATTAGTAGTTATACCTATTGAAATAAAAAGTCGTTCTTTTGCATTGTGACTTGAAAAGGCTGAAACGTATATTAATCTTTCTGGGATAAAAGTAACATAATGTTTCTCTTTCTTTTTTCAATGCCGTTACAGCTTTGCGCAAGCATGTTAATAGTTTTCAAAAATGTAAGCCGCTTTAATTTCCTACGCTTTCAATTTGCGTGCCGTATTGCTGGTTAGTCCCAAACATACCGTTCGTATTACTCATATCGCTAATGAGCCGCCTCGTCGCCCTGTGCGCAGGTGGGCTCCTCCAACAGCCACGTGGTGGTGGGCATTGCGCTGCTGGTGGTAGTACTTATCATCTCGCCCGTTATCATCATCCTGGTCAGGAAGGTGACCCGCACACTGCAGGTCAGTGAGGTCATCACGGTCGTGCACTCGGCAAACAAATGGACAGCGCGGACCGTTTTCGTTAGAATGTCCTTCAGTGCCATAACAACAGGGCTGCGGAGTCGATGGATTTTCGGCGACTCCGACTTCGACTCCGACTCCGGCTTTCAAAAACCAGCTCCGACTCCGACTCCGACTCCGGGCAGAATTGTCGACTCCGACCGACTCCAACTCCCGACTCCGACTCCGCAGACCTAGCAGGGCTGCGGAGTCGACAGATTTTCGGTGACTCCGACTCCGACTCCGGCTCGGGTTTCTAAAATCAACTCCGACTCCGACTCCGACTCCGGTCACAACTGTCGACTCCGACCGACTCCGACTCCGACTCCGCAGCCCTGCATAACAAAATATTGTCGTAATGCTTTGCCAGTGTTCTTATTTCATGTTTTAAAAGCATTGAATAGGCCGTTTGAAGAACCCGATGTGCCATTTATCATCTATGCAGTTTTTTTAACTTTCACGTCTCAATGAATTTCCATTCATTTTGCCAACCTTTTTGGTAAAATTGAGAGAACGGTGAACACCTCCATAGAAACTTGGATTTAATTGGAAGCGAAGTGAGAAGATTCGTGTAGTGTGATTCATTACGCCGATCGTTCGCCTGCCCAGGCTTTCACGGAAACGCTACAATACAAAACCTACGAGCTGCGCTACGAGAAGAAGCGGTCGGACATGCTGCTGTACCAGATGCTGCCGCCGACGGTGGCGCAGCAGCTGAAGCAGCGGAAGCAGGTGTCGGCAGAGACGTACGAGTCGGTCACCATCTACTTCTCTGACATCGTCGGCTTCACCGAGATGGCCTCCGAGAGCACTCCGATGCAGGTGAGCAGGGTGGCGCGTCTGGAGGCAGCACTTACCATATCTCTCCTTGTACCTACCCAAAAGATGGTAACGGTAAGGAGAGGCATGTGTGCGCAGAACTAGTGTAACAGACCGACTGAATTAAAACGATAGGCTGCTCTCTTGACCCCGATCTGCAATCTGGGTCCGTAAATTATCCCATGAACATCTTTTTTATCCGGTTGACAGAACGATTTTTACTGCTCACTCCAATAATCACGGGCGCTATTTGCAGGTGATTTCACTTCTGAACGCGCTGTACCGCATGTTCGACTCGCGTATCGAGCTGTACGACGTGTATAAGATCGAAACCATCGGTGATGCCTATATGGTGGCGTCCGGCGTACCGCAAAGATCACAAGGTGAGTGGCCCTGTTAGACTCGTAAGGCTTCATCGAACAGTGGGTTATAGGTAGTTTTTAAGCGGATGGGTGCTTTGATCTGCAAAACGGAAACAGGGGCTGCGGGAATAACTCGTGGGCATAAAAACAGTTTCGGGAGGTGGAGACTGGAGAGGGTTCCGCGTGCGCCGCGTCTGGGACCGTCTTTCCAAGCCCTTCAAATAATGACTTGCGTCGATGCACGCGGAAAGACTGAGCACCTGCGCCACCTGGAGAATTGTGACCGTCACTAGTGACTACCTCAGCGCCACCTGCGTCGCAGTGGTCTTCGTGTATTCTCGTCTTGCGGCTTGCCTTGAGCATTTATCAAGCTCTCCTTTGCCATTCATTGCTGGGCGGGTCTCAGTGCATATGTGAATCTGCTTTCTGCACTCAGCGAGCAAAATCATGCGCAATCGTTAGCGTTGCCTATATGATCGAAACAGGTCACCATCCTCTTTCTCGAAGAGGAAGCGGTGCTTTTGGCTGCTTGGGTGGTTCTGCTGTCGGAGTGGGTCTTTCAGGGTGGGCCGGAGTTTTTTTTTGGGGGGGGGGGCATGGTGCGGGTGATGTCCGGTCGCCGACAGGGGTGGGTGGGGTGGGAGGATCTCGCTGGGGAGGGAGGGTGGACTGTAGTGCCGCCGGGCGCGAGGGCGTGCCTGATTGAGCGATGCTCGGTGACTGCTCGCGGGCTGACGGCGCCTGCCCGGGCCGGGCTCCCTCAGAGCAGCTACAGGCCGGCACGCTGGAGCGGCTGATATTCACCACACCCTGCTATAAGATCATGAGCCACCAGCGGCTAGGTAGGCGGCGCCGCGCGCCCGGGTGCGTTGTCGAAACGTCGCTCAATCAGTGCAGCCGTCTCGTTCAAACTCCACCGGCGTTTCCGCAACGCATCCAGGCCCGGCCTGATTTGTCCGCGCTCTCTCTCTGTTCCTCTCTTCCTACATCTTTCTCCCTCTCTCCATCACCCTGTGCTTTCTCTGTTTATCACTCCTTTTTCTCTTTCTACTCATCTCTTCTTTTCATCTGCTTTTTGTGATTTTTGATGCTCGCATCTTGCTTCTGCTTTTCGTGTTGTGCATCACTTTCGAATGTTGTTCTGGTGTTGATTCAGTGTTTTCTGAATGCTCGTTTATCGTGTCCTTTTTTGGACATTCGCATGCGGATATCTTTCGACGTTCACTGGGTTATTGATACCTAAGTCTTCGCTTGCTTTGGATTGAGCTGCTTTAAATGTCACTTTGTCACTAAACACTGTACCTAATTGATTCCAGTTTCTCGCATTGCTATTCTGAAGTTCTCCATTTTAACTCCATAGATGCGATTGCTGTGATTACTGAGGTTGTGACTGGGTGTGATACATAGGCGTAGGAACGTTTTCGAAAGTGGGGGGGCCAGGGTCCCAGAGGTCCAAAACCTAACCTACCCCCAAAATCCGATTTTTCCTCGGATTTCGGCCACTTTGTTTTCGCAAACATGCTTAGAGGTAAAAAAAAAATCGAGACAAAAAAAGAAAAAAAATTGGTTGAAATTTCAGGGAGTCTCCCGTCCATAAGCTCAAACTGATAGACGCGTTCCCCTGACCTCCGCAGCCGTTGGCACCCTTGCAAATTCCAGAGGCATCCAGCAACTTTTTCATTACGAGCAAGCGTGAAACGTGCAAAGCGAGTCTTTTCAATATACCTATAAAAAGCAGCATGAACGGCCCAGCTAGGCTCAGCCAGGCCTATAACGTTTTTAAGAGGTTTTATATCAGCGACCACTGCAACTGGGCTGATTGACTATCACTTATCAGAGGCCGGTGTGGGATTTTTAGACGGTCTGGGCCTTCAGAGGCCAGTTTAACCCTCCACGGCCCGGTCCTATAGGTTTTCTACATACGCGCTGGCCGAAGGGGCGGGCCGGCGGGTACGACCCCCTCGCCGTTTCGCCCCAGGTGGAGCTAGCGCGTCGCGGTAAAACGAGCGTGTGCGCCGTTACGGGACGCAGAGATCGATACCCGATTTTATGGTCCTAGGTCAACCGGTGACCTCTGACACCGTTCCGTGCTTCTATCCTCAGGATACTGAAATCCTTCTCCTCCACACCGCAACCCCCTCCGGGCTGGACAGGCAACTTTATCTCATGCGGGCTGCTCCCTTGGAGCGGCACCGCTGCTCCCGAGGGAGCGCACCCCGTAGCCGGGTGCAGTGAGTGCCTTGGGGCTGGGTGGCCTGTCCTCTGGACGGGCTCAGCCCCGGCGACTCACTAGGGTGCCTGCCCAGACCAATGTCTCCCCCTATATCATATCATCCTTCCGGCTCTGAAATGGTCTCATTGGACCGAAAGGGCCTAACCCAACAAAACAAACAAAAACCGGTGAACTCTGAGGTCAGGTCAAGTGCCTCAAGGCACGGTTCCGTTTTTGGTGAATAACTTCGCAAAAAATGGCCGCAGAGCCGCGATTTTGCCAGCATCGTGTTCGCCTCTCTCAGGCGCGTCGAATGATATACTTTTTGTTTGGGTGAGGTAAACTTAGGGTGTTGACCTCGGGTCACGGTCAGGTCGGCGTCCCCAGGTCACGAAATTGGTCGAAGGAGGTCATGTCGCATATCATTCGATTCGGCAGGTCTTCTTGAGTCCATAGGTGGCTTTCCCGACTCGCTAGCTCAATTTGATCGGTACCTAGTTATTGACGAAAAACTAATAAGACCCTTATAACTTCATAAATGACGTCGCGCAAGGTCAACATTGCAAAAGTGACGCATCGAACCTTGCAAGGAGTGCATGAAATCACGATTCGGTGTGCTTGAGATAGTTGGAGATCGATCATTCCCGGCGCCAGAAAAAGTTTTCAGTTTATCCCCATTGACTTATACCTAATGGTGAGGTCACGAAAATGACCTGACCTCATATGAACTTTAGGAAAAATCCGAGATATACATTATACAAGTTGAAAGACTCCTATTGGATACTAGGTCCTCCAAGGTTCATTTCCCTGTGAAATCTCCTCTGGCAGTGAGGGCGTTGCGAAGTTGCGACATCTGAAGACCGTGCAGAGGTTCACTTATGACCACATGGGTCAGTGACCTGATCTGACCCGAAAATGCGGTTGGTGTCAAAAGATCCCGTTTGATTCAAAGGTCAGGTATGCCAAGCTTCAGCTCTCTATCGCCGGCGCGTTCGGAGCTATCGCGAAAAAAAAAACTATGGAGGGGCGGCACCCCCCCCCCCCCCGGCTGGCGAGGGTTAAGGCCCTCAGAGACCAGTACAGGGCCTGCAAAGGGCAGGATGAGACCTTAAGATGCCGACTTGGGCCATCAGAGGCTAATGTGGGTCCTTACAGGCCAGTATGGGCCCTCAGAGGTCAGTGTGGGACCCTAAAATGCCGGCATGGGCCGGTGTTGGACCCCAGAGGCCAGCAGAAGACCCTCAAAAACCAAGATGGGCCTCAGAGGCCAGCATCGGGTCTTCAGAATCCAGTGCAAGGCCCTCAGAGACTAATGCGTGTCCTTACAGGCCAGCATGGGCCCTTAGAGGTCAGTGTGGGGCCGTAACAGACCGGCATGGGAGGGACTTGGAACCTAGAGACCAGCGGAGGGCCCTCATAGGCCAAGGTGGGCCCTCAGAGGCCGATGCGGACCGTTGGAGACCGGCATCGGATCTCCGGAATCCAGTGCGGGGCCCTTAGAGGTCAATGTGGGACCCTAAAATACCGGCATGGGCCGGTGTTGGAACCCAGAGACCAGCAGAAGGCCCTCAAAAACCAAGATGGGCCTCAGAGGCCGGCATCAGGTCTTCAGAATCCCGTGCAAGGCCTCATAGGCTAATGTGGGTCCTTACAGGTCAGCATGGGCCCTTAGAGGTCAGTGTGGGGCCCTAAAAGACCGGCATGGGCCGGCGTTGGACCCCTCAGGCCAAGGTGGACCCTCAGAGGCCGATGCGGACCCTTAGAGGCCGGCATCGGGTCTTCAGAATTCAGTGCGGGGCCCTCAAAGGCACCTAAAGGCACCCCAGAGACAGAAATGAGGCCACCAGAGGCCGGTGTGAGGCCCTCAGACGCCGGCTGGGCCCTTGAGGCCGGTTTAGGGGCCCTCAAATGAGGTCAATGTGGGTTCTCAGCGGTCAATGTGGGCGCTTGACCGCCACTGAAGGGCCCTCCGAGATCAGTGTAGGACCCTCAAAGACTGGTTTGGGAGCTGTTAATAGCTAGCCATGGTGTGTCAAAAGTGGAAATAGCCGCCCGGCTTTAGTTCGCCAGCCTTGTCAATAGATGGCAGTACCACAATATGGGCAGCGGATCGTGCAATTGACGTCAAATTTTCGTTATCTGCTAAGAATTGAATGGCGGATCTTTTCATGCAAGAATCAAGTAAATCGGTCCACAACTTTTCTAGCAACAGAGATATGAAGTCAAACACCCTGCCAGAGCGGCGGCGCGGCGGCCGGCGGCGGCCGCTACGCGCCGCCTGAGAGACTAGCGGCGCTGAACGGTTCCGACTTGGCACTGCACTAAAACCTGTTAACTGCTTGGAATAGTTATTATAGCAAAATTTTCATTCAAGTGAGGAATAACCAAGGGCAGGAAGTATGTATGCTTGTGTGCGTACTGTGTAAGCCAAGGAACTGCATTAGCAGATACTCGCTAATATTAGATCCAGCCAAGTCCAAACGCATTCCAGGGGCTGTGTTTCTGATGTGTCAACAATATTTATCGTTCGAGGGCGGATACAGTTTTAACAATACAAAGAATATTTTTGCACAGCTCTATTCCTTGAATAATTCTCTTCAACGCCTCATTCCTAGTTAAGCGAATTAGCCCACCCTGGTTGAATAAATAAGGCGATTTCGCCACAAGGTCGCGGAAAACCGACCGAAAACGGCCGCGCTCAACGTTAATTTGGGCATGCAGACTCTTAAAAACTCGCATTGGGCGGGTAGGGTTTCCCAGGTATTGGCTCCAAAACACCGTATTCGGCTCCCGAATACGTCCAAGTGACCCGCCTCGTTCCTAGTTAAGCTCTAATTAGATCAAGTGACTCATAAGGAGCGAAAAAGCGACAAAAAGCATGAATTTCCCTATGGCGGCGGGCTGCCGGGTTGCCAGACGGCGTACCGGCTATTTCCACTTTTGACACACCATGCGTGGGATTCTTGAGTCTCGTGACAATCGAATAAGGGCCAGAGCCCCATACGCCCATGGGGGCCCATTGGTTGTTTGGGGGGGCCAAATGATATGATGGCCCCCTGATTAGCCTTTGGAGGGGGGAAGGGCATGGCCCTGATCCCCCTCTGCGACCGTCACTGCACTGAAAGTGGAAGGGGGAGGGGCAGAAACAGACATTGCTGGCCCCCAGCCTGTTTGAAACGAGGCTGAGGCACGGTCACCCTGGCCCCCAGCTAGTACGTCTTTGACGAACTATGCCGACCCCAAGCAGATAAGGTCAAGCGTTGGTCGTTTGTATACGCATTCTCCTGCACCGTGCTAGTATTGTCTTAGTATTGCCTATACCTTTTTAGTGCTCGCTGTCCCGCGCCTCGTATTCAACAAAATGCTGTCACCAGGACTCACAGTCTTGTCTCTGATATGGTTTCATTCATTGAGTGAAGGAAATTGCGGTCAATAACGCTGTAGAAACAAAAAGGAATCCTCATTAAAGGGCAAGCTGAATAGTTGTCAAGTTACCGGGTGGTAGGTTAGGTACAGACAGACACTTAAGTCAGCAAAAAGTGGGGGGGCCAGTTAACATTGCTGGCCCCCCCACCTCCGAAAGTGGGGGGGCCATGGCCCCCCCGGCCCCCCCTGTTCCTACGCCTATGGTGTGATATCGAACATTTTAGTGACTTCACTGACTACGAAACGCATGGAATGCCTAAAGTAACAAATACTTAGCAGGAAAATTCAATCTTTGTCAAGTTGTCCCAGAAATATATTTTGTTGGTTAGTTTTTTTTCTCAGTGGCTTATTTGAACGGTTTTCTATTTTTAATTTCATTGCTTAAAACCCGCGCCCCGTAGGGGGGGGAAACGCCCCCCTGTCCTTTTCCGTCGACATCTCCTAAGTGGCTAAAGATATCGCCACCAAACTTTCAGGACCCCTCCGTGCATCAATTTTACACATTGTGACCAAACAAAATTCTAGAGGCTATGATAGGTTGGCCACAAATGACGTCAGAATGACGTCATGTTCTGCCATTTTCGACCGAAAAAAGACCTTCGCGAGAAGAGGTGTCAGGCCTACAGCTTTAAAGATACAGAAAAATAATCAAGACATGAAAGGTGTAGAATTGACAGGGCTACAAAACTGCCATCTCGGATTTTTAAAAATTTTTAGTTGTGACCCCTAAAAATAAAAAATGCGATTTTTTGGATATATTAGCCAAAAAATCCAAAAAGTTTTTTGAGTTTCGAAACAACCGGAATATATGTGATAGTACCTACCGTCTTCTATCTACATACCAAATTTCAGATCGATATCTCGTTTTTTGGCCAAGTTATAGCGGAAAAAAACTGTTCAAAAATGATGACGTCAAACTTTCAAACTCAATTTTTGGCAATTTTAGGCCACGTAGGGCAAAACAAAGACCACCATTGGACTTCCCGTGACGAGCTGCATCGAATCAATACCCATTTTATGCAAAAATATCAACTTTGAAATTTGACCTAATATGACCTGACCTTGACCTGACCTTCACCAAAACGTGACCTAAGCTTGCCCCAAAGGCTGCCTGACCCACATAATCGCATTTGTCATGTAAAATAGACCATAAAACATGTATCATACGACACATTCATATTGTGACCCCCCAGTGACCTGACCTCTGTGACCTGACCTTGTATCAGTGACCTCAGATAGGAAAGTATGTGTCTGACGAACAATGTGCCATCGATAAATTCAATAACTTACAAATTTACTCGATTTCACAACACATTTCTTGAAATGCCTGTGAACGGTGAAAATCCGACCTTTGACCTGACCTGTGACGTCATCAGTTTGACCTAGGTCAATGAAATTCGATCACAAGGTAGATCCTGGATGAGGATATCGAACGCCGTTTGAATTTTGAAAATCGGCCGGTAAATTTCCGAGATCTTAGGGGGGGGGGGCCGAAACGCCCCCCCCTCCCCTACGGGTGGTAGGGTCCGCCGGTAGCCCTACGGGGCGCGGGTTAATTCTATTCATACGTGATCGGATTTGCTGCTAAAAAGTGATTTGTAAAGCAACTGCAAATCAGGCATTTTACTACATCCCTGGGTGAAACGCCTTATGGCATGGAGCAAGAACGGCGTTCTTACGGCATTCTTCGCTAGGTCTTCGGAGGCATGTCACTGGAGCAGCACTGGTCAGCACTGATATTCGTCATTTTCCCGCATGGTCTGTCGTCTGAATTAGGCGGTGCCTAATGCCTAATAGGCACTATAGCAGTCGGATGCATGATATAGAATTTGCAGGCATACGGGTATTTTAGAAATGTGTAACGATGCATATTTTCAGCGTTTCCTAGTTGAATCGTTATTTAACTACTTTCTTGCAAGTTGCATTGTTAGGTAGGTATTTGTTACCGTAATGAATCAACCTCGATGATTCAAAGAACGTTTTTCAAGTAAAATCACTGTTCCTGGTAGTAGTCTAGTGATTTTCGGTGCCTAAATAAAGTTCATGGATAAGTATAATGCCAATAGCTCGGAAAGTTAGATAATTTAGTACGTTTATTCCGTCGATCACGCGGATGCTGAGCTGTATGTGACGTTACCACTGCGTGACCCCACCCCAGGCAAAGACCACGCCGCCGAGGTGGCCTCCATGGCCCTGGACCTTCTGCACGCCACTGAAAACTTCGTCGTGCCGCACATGCCCGGTGAGCGGCTGCAGATCCGCATCGGCATCCACACGGGACCGGTGGTGGCCGGCGTGGTGGGCACCAAGATGCCGCGCTACACCCTCTTTGGCGAGACGGTCAACATCACCAGCAAGATGGAGGCCACCGGACTGCGTGAGTAGCGGCCGGAGAGACTGTCAGACCGATGCGCCGTGACCTAAGTAACGAACGCCAGGTCATCAGCTGTGTTATTATTACGTACATTTTAGGCATAGACAGGGGCCCGGGAACGATTTTCAAGTTGGGGGGGCGAGCCTAAAATACCTAACATGATGCATATGAAACAGTGGCGTGGCTAGGGGTCTAAGGGGACACGTACCCCCCCCCCCATCGGTTTCAAAGGGACCCTCGGGTCCGAGAGGGCCTGCGGCGCCATTTGACCGCTGAGGGCTAACAATGGTCATATTTCGACTCAGAAGGGCCCCATGGGGCTCGTTAGGGCACCTCATGGGCCCTAAATAACCACACTAAGATAACCATAAGGGCCCCACGCCGGCTTCTGAGGGCCTCTTGCAGATTTTAAGGGCCCCTCGGTGGTCTCCAAAGGCCCGTTACTGGCCTCTGAGAGTTCTTACCGGCCTATGAGGGGCCAGTTCTAGGGGCATTTCCCGCCTGTGATGGTCACACACTTATTTTTCTGAGGGCCCCATAACGGCAACTGTGGGGCCCTCATCGGCGCCTATGAGGGCCCACACCGGTGTCTCTGAGCGTTTCACACCCCAAACGCTGAGTGTCTACACCAGTGCCTATTAAAGCCCTATGTCGGTGGCTCTGAGGACCCAACAGTCAACACCTGCGAATCTAAAGGCCACTCACTGGTGACTTTTGAGGGCCCCACACCGGTGACTCTGAGCCCTGAGGGTCCCACCGGCGTCTGACAGTACCATGCCGGTCTCTAAGGACTCCACAGGACTTCTTCTGTCGGCCTAAGGGCTCCTTGCCGGTCACTGAGAACCCCCTGCCGGCTTGTAGAGGGCTCGCGTCAGCAACTCTGCCTCTAAAGACCCCACACCCGTCTGTAACGGCTCCACACCAGCCTCTGTGAGGGCCCACAGCAACGCCTGTAAGACTAAGGACCCTCACCGGCGCCTCTGAGAGATCACACTAGCACCTCTGAGCGCCCACACCGGCAACTGCATGGCGGCCCCACACCAGTGCCTCTAAAGGCCCCTTACCGCCGGCTCTGAGGGCCCTACGCCGGTGATTCTGAGGGTGCTACCGATCACCGAAAGCACCACATAAGCCCTTAGTGTCACTGAGCTTTAATCCCATACCGGCCTTCCGAGGGCGCCACGTCAGTGTACCCATTGCCCCACACCCCTCCAGCTCACACCCGGAGCGGGTAAACTGTGTTATACCTATAGCAACGAGTTTACCACCGTTTTACGTTACCGTGTATTTCTCAAAGTTGACTCAAAATGGTCCAGTATAAAATCTGGCCTGCCAAACTTATGGCGAACGCCAGGCCCAAACCAAAGCGGGATGACAAAAGCAGATGTTGTCAAATCGATACTGTATCAGCAGAAACCATTCAGATGGCTAGGAAAATGCCGTGTGTTGATGTTTAGATGTATAAAGGAAACAAGAAGGAAAGAAGTCCGGAAAAGGGAGGAAAGATCCTTTCACGCTGCCTCAATGTTGAGGGGGCGCCGCCCCCTCGGCTCTGAAGTTGGGGGGGCAAGCGCCCCCGCTGCCCCCCCTGTTCCCGGGTCTATGGGCATAGACAAGGTTAATTCCAACAAGTCACCTTCTTAATTTTGACATCAACCCTCTGCAGTCTTGATGACAAGTACCTCTTGGTACCTAATGCTCTAAAAGTCATTCATCCTAAAATGGTCCTTGGGTTCCACAGCCCTGACCAAATACCTCGTTTCGCAGCGTTCAAGATCCACATCACGGCGGCGACCAAGGAGGCGCTGGACCGCGCCGGAGGCTTTATCATGAAGCTACGTGGAGAGATGGAGATTCGTGTCCACTTCAACAAGGACTCGGTACGTAAACGAAGGCCGATATATTTCGGTAACATAATGAGAACAAATGTACCTATCTCACGATGTAAAACCTCAAACGTGTGCTCGCATACACATCAGCGCTATTTCCCTTGTATGTGTGTTTCGCCGCCTCATTTGCACTGTCTGCTGTTTCCTCAGAGCGTTGGCGGAGCGATGGAAACCTTTTGGCTGATCGGGAAGCATGGCAAGCTGCCCGACCGTCGCGTCGACTCCGACAAAGAAGAGGTGATCGACGTGATGGCCGAGAATCCGCACACCAACGCGCTGCGGAAGGAACGCCAGAAGCAGAAGGAACAGGCCAGCCAGAAGCAGTCGACCCTCTCGCGGGCGATGGAGTCGATCAAAGGACATCTTACAGGATAACGGACGGATGACGACGAACGGCGAGAGACTGGGAAGGAGCTGGACGAAGCACAGATCAATGCACACACCGCGCACAAAATGTAACCGGGGCTAGTGGAAATCGAGCGGGCGGACCAGGCCGGGCGCTTAGGACAGACCAGACGTCACATGTTAGTGTTTTGATGTTAATGTTGTTGTTGTTGCAATATGAAGTGCTGGTTATAAGTAGAAAAGTCGATGTGCGTTTGATGTTGGTAGGATAGGCGGAAGTGTTATGCGTTTGTCGTACTGCTATGCGTTTGATGTTAGGCTTTATGACCTGAGAGTTGGCATAGTGTTATGATTAGGCGTTGAGCAGATGCAGGCTCGTTTAGCGTTTCTCGTGAAGGCGTCAGTGTATGTATGTGTATGTGTTAGTGTCGCCGTCACGTGTTCGATGAAGACACGTGACGCCAGGAGGTCAGGCAGCGATGTGGTCGGTGTTCGCTGTGTTATTGTGTCGTGCTCGCTGTGCTATGTCACACGGCGTCAGAGAGGAGTGACGTCACCGGCGCTGATATAGTGTGACGTCACTGCCTGCTCTGACGCCCCAATTGACGGTGCGGGCTCCATGTGTGTGCAGAACGTGTGGGATCGCGAGGGACTCGCCAGTGCGCGGTGCTATGAGTCGCAAATATAAAATCGATGTGACGTAGCCGTTTACCTGAGCATTCGTATCGGAGGTAGGTAAGTGATTGCTTAACAGAGTGGTGGTGACAACATCAATTAGTTCGGCCCTGATGTTTCATCGAACTGGGCAAATAATTCATTAGAACCTTCAAAAGGCCATGAAAGTGCAGCGTGCAGCTTCGCGGGAAGTTCCTCGTGTTTCAAAGTCCTTCAAAGCACAAGCTCCTTTTATTTTTATCAAAATAAGTGCACATCAAAAACATTCATTCTTCCTATCCACGCCTGGTAAAATGAGTGAAAGAGGCCGACACTCTCAAGACATTTCTAAATTGCCCTAAGGGAGACATGAAACAGACGCGTCGACTATCACGCAGTTTGGGTCTATCAGAGCATTTCTAAGGGATTATAGCCCTCCCAGCTAATGTTATCCTCCCTTCAACAAAGTTAGCATGAGGACACTGCACTGACAAAGCCATCTGGGAACGGCAATCCGATCATCTGATGCACCCAACTACCGGCCACATCTTTGGTAAAGTCACACAATACACAAACATATTTGCACTCACAAACCCGACAACATGAGGAACGAGATAAAGTCGCTATGCATGTCTTTTTCTGCTGCTGACTGTGATGAAGCATTGCAACTCAGTCATGGTTCATACAATTTCAAAGCTGTTATACCTAACGATTAGGCTAGGCGTCCAAGAACTTCCAGCTCCTCGGCCGCCGATCGTGAAATTTCTACCATATCTGAAAGAGAGTTGAGTTCAGCAAAGCTGAGAGAAGTTGGCAGTGTGCCTGTGTGCGTCAGCAATAGACATGGCTAAGAGAGGACAGAAAAACAACTGTATGATGCAAGATACTAAGGCAGGTTCCTGACTGATAAGAAGTCATCGAAGTTCGTAATAAAGGGTTCATATGTCATCTTGCACTCACGCATTCAACAGTGCATCACAAACCACCATCTTCCCCGTCTTTGTTCTAAGACTCTATTCCTGAGTGTTGGCAAGGGACGAATGATCCCTAGAGTAATTCCACCTTCCCGTGGCTCCCGACTCCACATGATTGCAACTAGTCCATAAGATCATGATGAGGCAGGTCAAAGGCTGCCTGAAGCAAGAAGTCGTCGATGCGATGAGTATTGAGGGTTCGCAGCGCCTTTCTGTAAGATGTCATGGGTGGAGGTAAGACATTGAATAAATATCTTCGTAGACAGATATTGATGCTGTCCTATCCGAGATGCGACGGCTTGCACAACTCCAATGGTACGCCAAACGGAGCAGCGTCATGGCCCCTTCCATATTCATATTTTGCTAAACGCAACATGCGAGCCACTTTTCATTGGTTCTTATCCAGCTGTCAGCAACTTAGGCTGCAAGACCTTGAACGTGACTGACGCCACCAGCCGGAGTACAGCCAGATCAGTGCAACAATCGCCAGAATCGCTACAACTGTCTGGGTACCTTCTGGCCACCTGAGAACCCGTGCTCTTCAGAAGCACACGCGCTCGTCATTAGCACTTTTGCTCTTCACAATTACCCGCGTGTTCTGCAGTAGCATCCATGCTTTTCAACAGCACCTTGCTCTTCAGAAGCACCAGTGCTTTTCAGAAGCCCCGCGCTCTTCTGACCCACCAGTGCCCTTCAGAAGCAGCCATGCTCGTCAAGCGTTCGTGCTCTTCAGAGGCACATATGCTTTCCAGAAGCATTCGTGTTCTTCAGAAGGAACCGTGCTCTTCGGAAGCAGCCGTCCTCTTCAGTAGCACTCGTGCTCTTCAGTAGCACATTTTCCTGATGTCAGTCATGCTCCCTAGCGCTAGTCGGTCTCCTCAGTACCATCCATACACGCCGGCGAACGTTTGCGCGGCGCGCGGCGCCACCAGGCCTCCAGCAGCGGCAGCGCTGAAGGCGGCGTTCGCGGCGCTGTTGACGCTGGCCGGCTGACACTGAGCGCCCGGCCAGGTGGCGCCGCTGGCTGTCGGCGGCGAGTACGGCGCAGCGGCGGCAGATCCGGCGCTGGCTGCCGGCAGCGCCGGACTGGCCAGCGGCTGGCCGGACGGGCTGAACGGATGGGCCGAGTACGAACCCAGGCCCTGGGAGTAGCCCGTGGGGCTCGTCATAGCCTGCGCCGCTGCTGCTGCAGAGGACGACATCCGCGGGCCGGCCGATGTCATTCCCGGGTACAGAGAGCCAGAGTCTGTGGGAGAGACAGGCGACGTCAGGTGGGAAGGCACCGAACTGGGCCACCGGGCACATATTGTGGACGCACAGCCGCAGTCACGTAAAGGTTCCTCAGATAAAACTCGATAAGCTACTTTATCGAAACAGTCACTCATTGGCATGAAAGCTTCACGTACGTCTTTTGTGAAGAAAAGACGTACGTAATGGGAACCAGTCCGCATCAAAGTTGACAAAAAAGTGTGAAGACTAAATGTGGCGGCCCCTAGCTGCCAACACGGTCGCAAAGTAACGCCAACTTACCCTGAGCGGCCGCAGAGCTGAACGGGTGCTCTGGCAGACCCCACACGCCCGAGCCGGAGGAGTACGACATGGGCAGACCGACTCCTGGGTAGTTGGACACGGAGCCGGGGCTGGTCATCATCTTCCGCAGACGTGCACGACGGTTACTGAACCAAACCTGCCGGAGGGAGCAGACAACCAGGGTTATAAGCGGGAGGACTTGTAAGATATAGTGTGAATAACTACATTAAATCCACAGTCCACACATATGTCATCACATGGTCCACGTTATCGCACTTCAGCATTGTGAGGCGACCACCGTCAAGAGGGTGAAAATGAATGCTTCTTCAGGGAGCCGAAATAAAGTTTAGATAAACATTCAGCACCTGAACTATACATAGATGTCAATCATGGACTTCAAGAACTGCCACCATTTCCACAAGCTGGGCTTTGTCTTTGTCGCCGGTACTTGACCCCAAACAAGCTGATGTCGCTCGCCGTACCTGGATGCGCGCCTCGGTGAGTTTGGTGCGCTGCGCCAGCTCCTCGCGGGTGTAGATGTCCGGGTACTGGGTGCGCTCGAAGGCCTTCTCCAGCTCGTCCAGCTGGTAAGCGGTGAAGGTGGTGCGCGAGCGACGCTGCTTACGCTTCAGAGCCAGGCCCGGCTCGGTCTCGTCATCGTCCTCGGAGCCGGCGTCCGACTTCACTGCAGGACACAGTGGGCGGTAAGATTGGGTAGAAGCGGTGTCCTTAGACGAAAAGAGGCGAACGAAATTGACGAAAGAAATCATATAGCATGTTCTTGGAATCCTACGGCGTGACCAAGAGAGATAACACTCGGTAGCGGACGCTTAATCTCTCGCTTCAGAGTAAAATAAGCCGAAAAATTGGGCAGGGGAGCTTGCCAAGCTAGCGAAACAGACCACCCATTGTGTTTCTGGCTTTTGTTTGTGCTTTATTGTATGCTTTATTGTATGAAAATAATTACCTTGCTCCTCATCTTCCTTCTTCTTGACCGGTTCGTCGTCATCTCTGCCTCGCAGCAGGCGGGAGATGGCGCTTACAGAGGGTGCCGTCGTCTTGTCGCAGAGTCCTTCCTTCACCAGCCTGAGGGCGAAAGGACACAATGCGATTAATCAACAGAAGCGTGGGAAGTGCATCGTCATAAAGCGGTTATGTCAGGTGGTAAGTGTCGGTCCGCCTTCATATAAACCCGTAAAACAAGCAAAGTCATCCTATCCTCTCGACCGATTTCTATTCAATCTCAAGGAGCCTATTTTTGGTATAATCATCTCAATCTTTGTTCCCCGCTGACAGAGTCATGGGCTGGCCGCGTCATTACTAAGCACCCTAACATGACACCGGTCGAGAGGAGCGTCGTCGCTCTGCCGTGGCCATCCCGCTGACGGCGGGGCGTCTCCGGCTCTCTCGGCGCCCTGACGCCCCGGGCGCGGACGTGCTCCGGCGCCCGGTCACGTGCGCCCACCCGGCGCCCGCGGACACAGTCAAGTGACCACCCCGCCCCGGGCCGTGCGAGGGAATGAATGAGCCGGGATACCGGCGGACGGCGGCGGAGGAGCAACACTGGCGCCCGAGGGAAGCGAGCGCTCAATGAAGCACCGGAAGTGATTGGCTAAAACCGCACCGTTGCGGCGATTAGAAGTGGCCGGCTCTTCTGCCCTATCTGGGTGTTCTGTTCGATGATAGCTTCATGCTTCACACGGTCTTCTGCTGACCGTTACACATCCGCTTAGGTGATGAAGTGTCTCTTTCAGCAGAGCTTCGATTTGATTGCATAAAACGGTGCAGTGGTCCAGATTGCTTTCGCGTCAATACTACGCCTCACTCATCACAATGATTCCGAGACGCAGCGTGGCTTCGACAGACAGCATCACATCCAGAAAACGCAGGTCTCCGCAAAGTCATCCTGCCTTCGAGAGGAAAAGAGGGGAGGAAATGGAATGCCGTCGATTGACATGACCGTCTCTCAGCGGCTGCGAACATGTGCTCACCTGTCGCGGATCTCCCAGCTGAAGACGCCCGGGTTCTCCTTCTTGTAGTCGGCGATCTTGTTCTCCACCTCCGGAGTGGTGACTCGCGGCTTGGAGCCGCCGATCACACCGGGACGGATGCTGCCCGTCTCCTGGAGGCCGAAGCGGGTCTGGTCAGAGAACGATTAACACCTGGGGTTGCGCCGTATAAGGCATCCTCACCATATCTACTTCACCAGAATAGTTGTTTGGATAGCACGATACGTTGGACTGCCATTGTAATTGGCTTCCATCATCAGCTTATAGACATTCGCAATTATGATTGTATATTTATCGTTAATGTACGATTCATAGCAAAACATGATACTGATTATGTCCCCTATCTTTGCATATGAATCTAGAGGGTACCATTTTCTGCGAGTCGCCATTTCAATTTAGAATCATATACACATCACATGGCTGCTGGTGATATGCTTATTTGATATGCTTATACCGACCCTGGTGCCGTTCCCACCTGATATCGGTTGAGTATTTTGGAGACACAGCCGTGTGAGACGCGCAACTGCCGGGAGATGACGCACGGTCGAACGCCGGCCGCCGCCATCTCCACAATCTTCATTCGGATGTGGTTGGGCAGCGGCCGGCCGTTGATGAACACGCCGCCCAGCTGGTTGACCCGGCCCTGACCTGTGAACGGACGGGACGGCAGGTCAGACACAGGTCACATGGTGAGAACACGGGGGACGACGGGGGACGAGAGATCGTGGGGCGCAGAACCGAACCGCTGAACCGGTAGAATTCAGTTCAAGAACTGCCGACCTATCCACACCGTCGGGAACTTTACGCCTTTGAATTCAAGAACATATCCGACCGAGAAAAGGAGGGATGAAGTTTCCATTGCATATGTTTAATGCTCTTCTGGGAGATAACAAATGAGGCGAAGGATGTGACGGAGTGAAAGTGAAGAAAACCGATCAGGTAATTTTGCCTTCAACGTGGCTGACGGTTTTTCAAGATCATTTTGTCGATTGTCGTGTATCTCAACATGTAACATCACATCAGTTCTCACTTCTCTGTGTGGCTGGATAGGTCAAAGTTTTGCGAGAACAGTTCCTCTTTGTGTCCAAACAACTGCCAGCGCCGCCGGACAGTTAACAGCGGCACCAGTGCCGTTACGGTCTTCGCCACCGAGCGTCATGCCACGGTCGTCAACATCAGCCGTCATGTCACGGTCGTCATCATTTAGCGTCACGGTCCGCAGACCAACGGCGGCTCGGTAAGTTACGCCGCCATCATTGCGCCTTTGGCGAGCGATAGCTGATGATGGCGTCACCTTCGGCCCTTCTGATGATGGTGCCATCGCTGCTGATGATGGTATCAGCGCTGGTCGGATGATAGTGTCGACTGTCAGATCTATGAAAGTCGCGACATCAGAGGTAGTTACTTTTTTACAACTGCTCTACATTACAAGTATCACTAAAATGAGCCAACATTTTACTACATGTCCACCCCCACTCGGCACTCCCAACGGGTTTGCCTCGTTCTACATCTCTGACCGAGCGCTGGCGGTCGCCGGCAGCCCAGACAGCGGCGGTGAGTTGTAACACTCTCGTGATCTATGAGAGCGGCACGGTCGGCCATCGCTCAGCCGCCGGCGCACCCGTGTCGTCCTCTGGCAGATGACATGGGCTCGAGAGACGTCAGCGAAAACAAGGCGTGATGAAGCACGCGCTCCCGAGAGAGGTTTCAGGGCAGCATAGATGGGAGACGGGCCTTTGAGAACTCGGGAATAATTGTAGCTCGACGCGGTTAACGGTGTTTTACAACCCCAGTTTTGATAAGGTTATGATCATATTTTGAGATTTCAAGAGGTTGTTTTCCATTTCCTGGTGTTGGCTTTTATCGAGACGGCTAAACAAGTGAGTAGTGACACAGACCAGCGACCAACTCCTTGACAGGCGAGAGCACCTGTCATGTGTTTGCAAAATTATCTGGACCGTCGAACATTCAGAAGTCAGAACAGCCTCCAACATCCTGTCGATTGGCAGCCCTGTTCGACACTTACTTCTCATTTAGTCTGATCGTCCTGTGGTGCCGCGGTCATGCTCCGGTCGACCTCGGGCAGCAGGCAGGCCTGCAACCTCGACCTTAGGGGAGCTGTCGCCTGTCTCCACACCGGGCACGAACCTCTTACTTTGCACTCCAACCCCGTCTTTGTTCCTGTCTTTCAGTCGTTGGAGGCCGGCATTCCCCCAGCGGTGTGTATCAAATATCAATTGGTGACTGGACACCGATGTCTCCCCTTCCCCTCCAGGTCTATGCATCAGTCCTTGGACAGTGGACATTGATGTCCCCAGCGCTGCATTACTTTTCAATAGAAAAACATAATTCTAATAAAAAGTGTTAGTGTATTTCAAACAACCTGCGGCTTACCTATCAGTCGTTTGACACCGAATACCGATGCCCCGTCCCTACAGCCATGTGTATCAGCCTTTGGACACCGATACCCCCACCCCCCAGCCCCTGTGTATCAGTCTTTGGACACCGGTGGCCGAGGTCACATTATAGCCCGCGGCGGCGGCACGGACGGCACCGGCCGGCGCGGCGCTAGCGCCCATTGCCCGGCTAATGATCTTGTTTCGGCGCGTTGGTGCGACAATGGTGGCGCGCTGCGCCGTGCTATTGTATGCCTGGCGCGGCCAGCGGCCGAATATCATTACCTGGATCGATGGGGCAGGCTGCAGCGAGCGAGGCGGGGCTGGGGAAAGGTGTGGGTCGGGGAGGGTTCGAGAGAGGGGTTGGAGGTGAGGCCGTGACCAGCCCCTCTATTGGAAAGGCTGAGGATTAGGAAGGGATCATTTTTAGGTACCTTTAAGAGTGGCTTCATTTTCATAAGGTTTAGGGAGCTGGAAGCTAATTCAGAATGTTCATTAATATCACCATGCAACTAAACTGATTTAATAGTGATAATGAACGATGATCAGTGATCACAATGTGATGATGATATGGTTGGTGGTGACAATGCCGAACAAATGAAGTTCGAGCGTCAGCATTTTCACCTCCGATATTTTTTGCCTTACATATTTCGGTAGGTTTCGCTAGCTGCCATTCATCAGCTTTCAGTCAGCTCAGACGACCTGGGCTGTCGATCTCTCCAGTTCCCCTATACCTCCCACCAGCCGCTATCCGTGATGGAGCCCATATGTTGGAAAGCTAGGCGCCGCTAATCTCCGTGTCACTCGCACACTGACGTGTTAATCCCGCGTCAGCACAGGACGAAACAGCATCGGCTTGATGACGCCGACCAGGGTCGTGAGCTCGGTGCAGGTGTACATAGGGGAGACCAACAGAAGGCCTCACTCTGTGATAAGGTGGCGACGAAAACGGAGAAGACTTTACGGCGGTGGTAGAGTGGGTAGAAGGCCAAAAGTAGGGTATAAGCCGTGATGGGTGTGTGTTTAGAGACCAAAAGTGATAATCGACTCCAGCGACCAACACCTCCTGAGCTTATACGGAGTGCCATTACTGACTGACTTGGCGACTGGCTCAAGCGACTGAATTCTGACTGACTGACCGTTATATGCCAACTCTGAGTCAGCAGCTACTGCCGCCAGTTACTGGCATGGCCTCTGCAACTGGTGGCAGCTGCAGTCGCCGCCTTCTGCAACTTGCAGCTCGGTGATGTAACGACTGTTCACCGAGCAAGCAGTCATGAGGAGGCGGGAGGGATGGGGACGAGGTAACGGTAGGCGCCGCAGGCGGCCGTGGGGCTGCCAACATTGCTTACTCTGCAGTCTGCTTGGTGTGTCCTGTTCCACAGCCCATATAAATGGGTGTGCCATGAGGACCGCCCATGGAGGCGTCTTGGTCTGAGCCTGACCCATGGAGCTGGACGAACTATTACCTATGTCGAACAAATATTACGCAAACAAGCAATAGCAGCGAGAAAGGCGGGAGGATGCTAAATAAGTAGGTAAGAGATGTTGGTGATCACCAAAAAAACATATCCCAAGTCTTCATCGACGAGACTTGAGATGGGTTTCTCATGCATTGCATTGTCTACAAGAAAGGGTAAACGGCAGGTTTGTCTTCCAAACACCACTTTCTTTCAATATTCCTGAGTAAGAAATAATAATCTACACGGCATGCTAATTTGGTAAATTCTTGACCACTGTCCACCCCACATGGAGTTCCCTTCACTCCACCCCGCCTCCCCGTCCGCTCCCCCAACTGATCCATCACCTTCGTCTCTCAGTGCCGCTCGCGGTCCGGGACAGATTGGACCGGGGAGGAGGGGGAGGGGACGGCGCGTCATCTGGACCAATATCCGGCCATCAGTGGAGCACAATCACTGATAAATGCCGTCATCATCACACACAAAGCCGGCCATTACGACACGTTGCAGCGCCTTCCGCTAATTGGTATTAATAGGTACTAGGAAACAGGAGCTCGGGGAGAAATCATTAATTTACTGGGGCAGTTCGTTTTTCCATTAGAGTGTGCGGTGTTGGGTAGCTCGGCGAGGTGGCGGCGAGGTGGCGGCGGTGGCGGCGGAGGTGGCCGCGCGGCGGCGTCCTTTGAAGTCGGCGTATTTGAAGTGGCGGCACGCAGTCTGCTGAGGGGACCACCTCCGTCCGGCTGCCGCTCGGAAAGGGTGGATTAAATTACCGGGGCGCAGGAAATGGGATGGGGCGGGCGGGCGCAGCAGCGCCACATGCCACCCTGAAGTGGCAGATAAAATATTTAGCGTGAACACTAAACTGAGTTAGCATGGCTCGAAACAAGACGTGGTCAAAGGACCATAGCATGTATCTTTATTAATGTCTGTCTTCTCAAAACGAGCAAGACAAAGCAGCTTAACCCTATTAGTGGCAGGGGGGGTTGTTTTTATCCACCCCTCAGGTTTTTCGGGAATATCTCCGAAACCGCTGAAGCTACGATGCTGAAATTTTCTGACTTTTCCTAAAACTAAATTGGGCACATTCCCTGAAAATTTCAAGTTCATAACTTTACCAGGGGGCGCTCCAGAGCACTGGGAATTGGGGGGTCCTATTCGTGAAGCGAGTCATTTGGGCGAAGATCACGATGCTGCACCAGTTTTACGAACAGTGAATGAAAGGTATCATGTGATAACATATACAGTTATTGTGCATCCTCTTTTGACACGTTTTGCTATAATAGGCGGATCCAGGCGTCCAAAAAGGGGGGTTATGTTTTACCTCCCAACATAGGTGCCCTGACACCGCCTATGCATGACCAATACAATTGTAGTCGTTCTCTCATAAGAAAATTGTAACATAACAAGACCATTACCACCCTTTTTAGAAACAGTACCAACAAAAACCTTATTTACTATACTTTTTGTGTACCCCCAATCTCAATGATCTGTATCCGCCTATAATTTTTGAAAATGCATATTTTTAGGATCCATGTGAATTCCTGGTTCATTCTCTATCGATCGGCAAACGTTGCGTTAAGATTGGTTCAGAAACCTGGCCGTGATAAACAGTCTAAAATGTATCTGCAATTTGCCCGTTTTTACCCCCCTCTACCCCCCTATTGACATTTTTTAATTTTTATTTTTTAGAAATGTAGATCACGTTGAGCGAAATCAAATGCCGTTTGAATTTTGAAAATCGGCCCATTAGATCTCGAGATATCAAGGGAGGTCGTAAACAGCCCCCCCC